GGGGAGGAGGGAGCGGATCCCCCTGAGATGCACACCCAGACGTGCACACCAGCCACAAACCTCCGTCAGGCCCTGTCCTGGGACAGCCCTTTCTCTAGTCCATCTCGTTTCCCAGCCCCAGCCTGCTCTAAGAATGGGCAGATCCCACCAAGGGCCTCCATCTCCCTCCACGCAGTGGGGCGAGAAGATGAAAGTCCTGGGAGACTTGTTTGTCCGTCTGTCTGTGCCCTCTTGCGGGAAAGGGGAATGGCTTCCGCCCCCACCTGTCCTTCTGCCCGCGGAGTGGTGGAGGGCAGGGCTCAGAGCCCCAGCCACAGAGCAGCACTCGGCCCCTGCGTTGCATGCTCCCCTCCCACCTCTCTTCCCAGGGCCAGGGGCCAGTCCCATGTTTCTCACACTGGCCTCTGGAATCGTTGGCCTGGGGAGAAAAGGCCTTTAGGCATCAGGACCTGGAGCAGGCCTTCAAGCCTTGACCTCCATGTGGGATGGTTCCAAGATAAGACCCTCCCTGTTGCCTAAAATAACCCAGCCTTAACCTGCTGGTTCTGAGGAGCTGGACTTCTTGGAAGAACTCACTGCAAAGGGCTGGATGTCACACCAGGGGGTGATGCTACCCTGTGAGGAGCGGAGAGTTCTTTTCTAAGGAATTCTCTGGGTTTTAAACCTTAGACTGTTCAAAACTGTGGTTTCTGTTGGACATTTGCAGCCAAAAGCCACTGAGTTGGTCAGATGTCAACAACCTGTCGCTCCCTCAGACCCCAGGGAGCCTCAGTGGCCTCCCAGCCCCCTCCTGTGCCTCGTCACCACCTCCCCACTGTGCACCCTTCTCTCTGGCACAGCATCCTCCCCACCTCCTCTGCTGTGGCGCAGGGGCAGTAGAGGCCAGGGAACCGCCCCCGAGGAGCCGGGCCGCGCAGTGGGTCAGCCACTTCCTCTCCTTTTCAGGCATGGTTGACTGAGACTGACATGAACACACAAGGCCCAGATGTGAATACGCCAGTTCTATCAAATAAACCTATTTAAAACCACACACCGAGTGCCTAATGCATGCACAGCACATTTAAGAGCGAATATAATTTATTAACCTCTGGGGGGAAAGTTGTGGGTTCCTTGAAAAGTTGCTGAAAACTCTCAGGTCACTTTGCACACGATTGCGGAGAGTTCGGGGATCCCACACCTCATCCATCATCCCCTGGTTAAGAACCCCTGATCTGCAGTGTTATTTAAGAAAACCCAGGACACAACTCTCATTAATTTCTGCTGATATTCTGCGGCTTACATCCCTCTGCTAGTACAGTCATCCCTCGGAACCTGCAGGGAGTTGGTTCCAGGACCCCTGCAGATACCAAAATCCGTGGATGCTCTAAATGGCGCAGTTCAGTCGGCCCTCTGTATCTGCGGCTCTATTCCCCCTGCAGTGTGTGATTCCTTCATAGCTCCCCTATTGTTAAAAGACTTTTTGCTTATTATTATAAAGTTTTTATTTCAAGCATGGTGGAAAGGAGAGATACTTGCATAATGAACCCCAGTGCACACACCACTTAGCATTAACATACAGCAACTCAAAGAAAATCCCTGTTATCGAAGCACTGGGAGAGACCTCAGTTTCCCCTCCACGTTTTCGATGCTGCATCAAGGCTGGCTCTGGACTGCTGGGCAGCCTCACCCGCGCTGGGGTGGTTGTGGGACCTCGTGGCCTCACCCAGCCTTACCCAAGGGTGGGCAATGGCACCTGGTGGGAGCCCAGGCCTCCCTCCGGCCGCTGCTCCAGGCTTGGGCTTGGACGTCAGACCAAGGATGCACATACCATCTGTGTCACTTTGGAGAAGTGACCTAACCTCCCTGAGCCTCAATTTCCTTATCTCTAAAAAGGGGGTCATACTACACCCCGCCCCAAAGAGTTGTGAGGAATACACACACACACAGACAAAGCCCTTCCGCTCCTCACCCACCACTTTGTCCTCATGTTTTCTCTCTCACTTTTCTATTCCCTTCTCTCCCTTCTACCCTCCTGTCTGTGTGATGTTAATATGAGACCATTTACCGAGACCTTTCAGTTAATAGCTCCCATCTCCTTCTGGGTTTCAGATCCGACGTTTTGCCTATTCTGAGCTGGGTCCCACCCTCTCCTGCACACAGAGCACCAAAACAGTGACGCACAGATGTCCCCAAGCTATCCCACCCACGCGAGTGCCTCGCAGCCCAATATCCACCTTCCAAGGGCCACTGCGCTGGGCTGGGCAAATCTGCAGCTCCTCCCAGTGCGGGGTCTGCGGGGTCAGTGTTTGAGCCCAAGTTGACACTCCCCACCAGTGGGTACCGGGGGTGTTCAGGCAGTGAGCTCAGGGTCCCAGCCCCGCCCGAAGTGAAGGCAGCAGGCTTGGTTGTGAATGCCGTTTGCCTCTCTCCCAAAATGGAATCCACCCCCCAAACAAAAATTATTAGTTGCCACTGACATCCCACTTCCCAAAGGCTGCTCACTCCTGGCGGTCGGATATTCAGGCCGCATTGATTCAGACAGCCTGCATGAATGACTGAGTTAAGGAAGGAAGGAAAGAACAAACCGCAGACAACTGAAGGCGTGTTCCAAAGGGGTGCGTGTTCTGGAGATGCCATTAGAGTGACAACAGCACGTCTGGAATAAGTGGAGAGCCAGCGCTGCCTTTCCCCCCAGAGGAGTATTCGCAGGTTTAAGTTCTTTACTTCCTAGCCTCCTCTCTCCACTCCCCTCCTGTGTCTCTGAGCTGTCTTCCCTTCTCCCTGCACATCCTCCCCCTGCCCCGTCCGTCTCGGGTCTGCAGCCCTCCCAGGTGCCCCGGAGGCCTAGCTGGTGGACAGCCAGCACCCCAGGCCCCTCGTCAGCACCCCATCTCCTCTCACACTAGCCTCACACCCCATCTCACACTAGCCTCACTCGTCATCTCTTCAGGGAACCCTGAACATCTCCCTCTCTGCCTGCACCCTTTGTGGACATCTAACCAGGGTGTGCCCAGACCAGGAGGGCCGGAGACTGGTGTATCAGGGTGACGAAGGCTTGGGCTTGGACATCTGACCAGGATGCACATACCATCTGTGTCACTTTGGAGAAGTGACCTAATCTCCCTGAGCCTCAATTTCCTTATCTCTAAAAAGGGGATCATACTACACCCCGCCCCAAAGAGTCGTGAGGAATACACATACACGCAGACATACCCCACCCCAGGGATCCTCTGAGCTGTAAATCCCTCAATAGTACAGATACTCAGAATGAGGAGCTCAGGCTCTGATCGCTCCCTCCTTCCCTTCCTTTAGTTCCATTCCATTGACAATTCACATCCCAGCCGGAGCAAGCTTGGACACCAGACCACTGAGTCATTTTCTCCGAAGCCCAGCCAGCCCATGACGCTCCCAGAGAATGCCTGTCATGTCGAGGTGCTCACACCTGTCACTGCTCACACTCCTGCCCGGGGACCTCCGTTCACTGATGCTCCTCTGCCCCTTCCTCTCTCTGTGTCCTTTCTTTTTCCCGAGAGCGTCCCCGACAGGCCTGGGGCTGTTGTCTGCAGCCATCCTCTGTGGGTTCACATGGTCTCAGGCTACACCTTAGTTTGGTCTTTGCGCTTAAAAAATGTTATCTAATTTTTGGAATAGGTAACATGTGCATATATTTCAAAATTCAAGAAGTACGAAAAGGTATATAATGAAAAGCACTCCCATCCCTGAACCCAGCTGCCTGTTCCTCTCTCCGGGGGCAGCCGGGTTATCAGCTGTCATGTTTACCCCGGTCTTCAGCTTGTAGGTTTGGGCGTGTTGGTGTGAGGAACGCAGCTGTCATCCTCAGTCTCGGTGTGGAGACCCAGAGCCAGGCAGTGACATTCCCGGCTCCCGTAGCTGGCCCGTGGGATTCCCAGGAGATGAATCCAGGCTGGGGCTGCTCAGGACCACCCCCTGGCTGAGTCGAGAAGTTGGGGCCCTTCCAGTCCACTCTTACCAGCCGGGCTCTTCCCTTTGAGGGGTGGTGGCGCGATCATTACCAGAGTGCTTGCCCTGAGCTAGACACCGTTAAGAGCTGCTTAATTATAATCTCACCTAACTCTCTCAGGTGGGTGTTACCATCCCTGTTCGACCGATGAGGAAACAGGCTCAGAGAGGTTAAGTCCCTGCAGAGATGACCCGGACTCAGGGTTCCAGCCCAGGTCTGTCTGCAAAGCTGGGATATTTCTCTCTGCATCTTGTCTCTCTTGGTTGTTAATTCTCCGCACAGTCGCTCCCCTCCAACCCTTCTCTTGTGTCTCCCATC